TTTCTTTTTTTGTGAATTACACGAATAACAATCGTCATTTTATGACCCTACCTTTTACCTTTATTCATCATCTCCTTAAAATTACCATCACTTTCCACTACTTTACGATAATATTCGTTAACGAAGAAATAGATATTCAGAAGTTTCACATGTTATTCGTTTCAAACTAAAACGCCTTCCTAATTCTCATGAATTATATGATATTCGAATTCAAAACTGGAAAGTTTCTTAATTATATGATGATAAAATAAATTCCATTAATGGAAATATGAGTCGAATATATTCGGAATGAGATGGAAAACGAAAAAATAGAACAAATAAATTATTCTGTGGAAGCTTTTTTCATTCTGAAATACTATGGAGAAATTAGATTTTTCTAATATGTCATCCAAAATCTCCGGAATATGTTTTTCGTTTCTTTTATTTAAATAAATGATTACAATTGAGAGAAAAACATCAAAATGATATCGCTGATTCCATTAAGAAGGAAATATATACATATGGACTGTTGTAGAATTCATAATCTATGATGAATCAAAAAAAAGATGGAGCCTGGAAGTTTTTTTAATTGAAAAGGAATTTCGAAATGGAAAAATTTGATTAATTTTGAATTTCCGCTATAAAAGTCTGATATGAATAAAAAACAATTCATTTCAGGAACAATATTATAACAAAATCTTTGGATGCTTCAAAATGATTATTTCCAATGATCTGATAGGTCAAAAAATTGAATTCAATAAAACAATATGGTTCATTCTCTGACCAAATTGATCATGTTGAAATAAAATTGAGCCACAGTGAACTGTGACCATTTATTTACTCACTTAAAAAAATTTTTTAATAATTAATTTGCTGCACAAATATTTTAGATATGGTGAATTAAAAAAAATAAAAAAAAACTCCGATAACAGAATCAAAAAATGATTTCGTAGTTCAGTTTTGCATCCCTCCCACTAATTGACTAATTAGAGAGCCATAAATGAAGTATGACACTAGGGTGACAGATAAATAGATCAATGGAGCGACCGATATAAGGATGAAAAGACAGACATGGACACAGGGACACAGACATGCGTACAGACAGGCACGTGGATCACGAAACCAATGGGGAACATGACGTGGCGATTTTTCACGGTCCATACTATCTTTAACAGACCATCGTACGGTTCGTGAGATGAAAGTCTATGAAAAAGAATATTTCTAATTGAGAGGTTCATTTTCTTAGGCGTTACGGACGGTTTTTCCTTAGTGATACATTCGATGTTTTAATTTGATGTCTTGGAGCCACCTGATTTGTAGTTCATCGTGATGAATTTTATTACAACAAATTGTTTAGGATAGGAGGATATTCCGAAAAGTTCTGCATACTTAGATTCCGGAAAATCAACTTGTTTCCGGATGTTAATAATGCATAATTGACAGGAATGAAGCGGGAAATTTTGACTTGATGTCATATTGGGAGTATGTGAGAAAAGCGTAATATTGCATGTTTTTAAGATACGAAGAGTTCTTAGCAATGACTGGACTGTTGCTTGTTTTACGGAGAATGAATAAAAAAAAGGAAAAGAAAAAATGGAATAAAAATTCAAGATTTGAAAATGTCATTCATTCCAAATTTACAAGCTTAGAGTAATTCAATGGCATGCTTCCTTAAATAATTCGATAACGATGGATGAGATGAAAAGATATTAATAACATTTCGGTAGCCTGCTATTTCCAGATTGCCTTGTTTGGGTTATTTACCCATTCTATTAGATATCCACCAAGTTTTCTAAATAAATTAGTGAGAATGTTTTAAACATACTTCCAGGTACATGATGCTTCTATTTCTGCTTCTAAAAATTTCGGCACTTTTCTTTACATTTTCAAAAGTCAAGTCTTGATTTTGATCAAAATTTTGAAGTCCTTTTCAAGTCCGAATAAGTTATTTCCAAATTACAAAATTAATAGACGTAGAGGTTGCTAAGTTTAATGCTTTATTTTCAAAAAAATTTTCAGTTAGTATTTTCAAACATCAAAATTGTGTACTTAGAAGTTTGGAGAAATTAGAAGTTCAGAGTAATTTATAATCCCGACAATCTTTAACTTGCTAAAGCGAATTCAAAAGAAATTTGGGAGTGTATGAAATTAAAAAAAAAGAAGGCAATGCATTCTGAGAGTGAGCAAGAGATGGTCAGCAGTCTCAGAAACATGTGCAAATGATCATTCTCTATTAATGAACTAGTAAAGAAAAGAAGATTTTTTAATTGTAAAATAATATGAAATGCTGGTGTATAATTTGGTATTAATCGTTAAAACGAAAAGTTTAATTAGAAGCATAATTATGCTATTTGATTAAGTGATTATGCAGTAAGTGTTATATCGTTTATTGATTTGATATGGGGGAAGGAAATAACGATTTTAGTTCGAAATCGGATATTTATATATATTTCAATTTTCAGTATATATTTGAATCATTCCACCATCTTCAAAAGTAAGAACCAAACGGTCAAAGTTCCCGTTTCATCGTCGAAGAGCTTTGGCTCAAAAGGAGGTATGCATTTTCTTTTTTATTTTTTTTTAGTCAAAATTATTTGCCTTACGCAAATCCTATCGTGATTTGTGTTCTTCGGTTTACATCCTTATATTCATAAACATACATCTTTCATGTGTTCATTATTTCCATAACCAGAGTAGGAGTAATTTCATTTCAATCCTTTCGATATCGAATATTTTCAACAATTTAAAATTTTTAAATTGTATGTATATTGTATACATATATGTATATGTATATATATGTATTGATTTTTTTGTTCTCTTCCTCTAGTTATTCAACGTTCATGGCAAATCATTGTAAATTTATCTCATCATATAATAAGCATATAATAAGAATATGAGGAGATGGAAATTCGAAAGGTAGCTTTGAATCGACACAATAATTAGGGAGGACTGAGTGTTGTAATTTACCTTAGAATAAAGAACCAAAAATAGCGCTAAACTGTAGCGTAATAAATCGGGTATTTTTTCCTCAGGTAAATCGAATCATCATATTGCATCTGGAAAAAGCTTTATATATACGGTCTGACGTTGTGAAGGGAGGAAATAGGTATTGTTGGAAGGAAAAAGAAATATCAATGAGGATATTGATATTATTCTTATTTTGTTGCATTTCTTCGAAAATCAATTAAGAAATGTCGTTATTTGCTTATATTCCGTAACAGTGTCCTTTTCCCATCCTTGTCTCCATATTGCAACGGAGATTTTGTTGGGGAGTCTTCCGTATCCGGTTTACTTAACGCTTTTATATGTGTTTTGATGTATTTTTCTGTTCTTTTGTCTTTGTTCACTGGTTCCAAAAGATTTTTTTATTTCGTAAATAAAGCGAATTGTATTATTGCTGAAGTAAGTATATTTCATAACTTGTAAGTATATTTCATAACTTGGCTCATCAAATAATTATGCAGGAGGCGATAGATGTAAATAATTTGATTTTCTTATCTAAAATATTTGGGCTGTTAACCAAGACCTTTATCAAAGAGAGGCGTTGAAAACCCAATGTGTAAACAGAAGCAGGCTTGGCATAATTAAAGGTCGTACATTCAGCAAAGTTCAGTGGGGATAAATTTTTCTGGTTGTCATTATTCGTCCGGAGTTTTATGATCGGATTATTTTGAGGTAGGAATGAAGTGATAAATTAAACAGTAATTAAAAAGCGTTGTCATGGTTCCGTTTACAAAACGTTTTGCTGTTCACGATCGATAGTCAAATTATGAACCGCTGTGGCCACACTGTAAAATTAATGATAAGAAATTGGGATCGTTGATAAGGATTAATAATGGTATTTTCATATAAGGACTGCTTATTCGTTTTTGCTTATAAACAATTCAATTGGAACTTTTACGTGTGAATCGCATATCTTGATATGTTGTTGGATAAAAATCACCTGGAATTGTCAAAATTTGCTAGAAGTTTAAATAGTTTATTGTAGATGTCGTCAGTGTTGATTGGTTATACAGATGCAGCTGCAAATGCAACACAAGCAGCTTCACTGGTAAACAACAGTAAATATCGGGCTTATGTTGCGGCAGTCGATAAAGCACTGAAAGCTTTTGAAGCTACCAATGAATGGGCCGACTTGATCTCAGCTCTTGCAAAACTTAGTCGAGTGAGTCAAATTTTGGGTCGTTTTTTTCTCTGCCATAAAATTTAAAGCACGTCATGATGACTGTTAAATCTGTCAATTTCCAAGTATCTATGCTATCATTTTCTCATTGTTCCTGCTCCTTTACTTCCATATGTTTTTGTAGATTAAGTCTAGAATATTTTAGTCATCGACTACATATATATTTTCTTGACTCAAAAAATTGATAACATCAAATGAAGGACAGGTATAAGCAAGTTGGTATTCAGTTTAATGACCTGCAATTTTCTCAAAATTTTGGGGAATCTGATACACTGTTGTTTCTGTGTGGTGAAATACACTAACTGTCAAGCATGAAATATGTGACTAGAATCGATGATTTGTCAGGTTTTTGAAATTTTTTTAATAATCATATGTTTTAGCTTACAAAATTGCAGGTATTTCATGCAAATGCAAGATTTGGTGATATACCGAAGCCAGTGACTGTAGCAAAGCGCCTTTCGCAGTGTCTACATCCGGCCCTGCCACATGGTGTTCATCTGAAAGCACTGGAAACTTATCGACAGCTCTTCGATATCCTTGGCCGGAAGGATCTTCCACGTTTGTTGTATCTTTTCGCTGTTGGACTTTTCCCACTGATGGATCACTGTGGAATAAAGGTCTTTTTTATGTTTTATGAAGTGTTTTAAGTATTCGAATTTATAAGATCCAGTTTTCTTTGGATTTTATGATTTACTGCATCATTAGTTCATTTATTTGTCTTGTCTGCTATGTCGAGATTAATTTGACAAATCCATACAAGAGTCCTAATTGTAATATTGCAAATTTATCTAGATTTTCTCTTCCAGAATTTTTCGGAATGGTTCTTTTGGAAGAAATTTAAATTTTAACTGAATGTTCTAAAATGTTTAAGGTAAAATTGGAATTGTTAAATATATTTGAACAATATCTCCTTCCATTGGGTGTTGAACTGAAGCCAGCACTCCCTGGTTTCATCGCTGGTGTTTTGCTGGGCCTTGAAGAAGGAACGGAGTTCTATGATAGGTTTGTCATTCATTTTATGTTAATCTTTTTACCATGTTGCTGAATCAATTTTCGGATTAATCAAACCTTTCTCATTTCATGGTTTATCTTGCTTACTTGGCCAACCTTCATTTAGATCGTTTTCTCTTTTGGATCAAGTACAGGACAGTGTTGGTCCGGAAGCATATTTTGCATGTCTTTGGGAAGCAGTCCTTGGTTCACCATCCGTTCGTCTTCCAGCACTGATGTATGTAAATGCGAAATTTAACCGACGGAAAAGTATGCACGATCAGGAGTATATTATGGGAAATAACATTGATCATATGGTACTCTTAATGCTATCTTTTCATCTTTGAAACTGTTGAAGAGAGAAAAAAAAACTCTTGATCGATCTAATAAAAGTTTTGGTGTAAGGGTTTTTGCTCCAAAAACTTTTTGCCTTTCACTTTGTTGGTTTATTTTGCATTCATTGATTTTTCAGATAGCGGCTCTTTGCGCAACAGCAGATGATGATGGCTCAATACTTGTTCAGCGTCACTTATTAGATTTTTTGTCCTCTGCTTTCCCACTAAATTCCGATCATCTCGTAAGAGAAGATTTTGTTCAGGTAATTAAAAATTGTATTTTATGTATCTTTATGTAATGTTCACAATTTAATCATCTCAGCTGTTTGTTGAAGAAAAGTATAATGTGAGATGTCATACCTCACATTTGCTTACTGAGCATTTTGCCACTGTTATAACGCATTCACCAACGAAGTTAATATGAAGGTCATGTTTGTGCAAGGTATATGGAATTTAAATTCGTAATTGTAATTCACACTTAGAAGTATTGATACATAAATTCAGACTGGTGACGGCTGTTTCCAAAATTTAGCATCGAAAGCTGAAGAGTTTAGTTCAGATTCTGACCACATTTAATATATCCAGGTTTTACTTTAAGAAATTTGTTAAACCACTTATGCCCTGCCGATTGCGGGGAAAGCGATCGAAGAATATTTGAAATTAGATATAGTTCAAGTTTTATTAATACTGATTTCATTCATTTTTTCAGCTTCTCAGACGTTGCCTCTTTTTGGTACTTCGCAGGGATATGAGCTTGAATAGACGTCTGTATCAGTGGCTACTGAATCGTGTTGGTGATTCAGCTGTTACTGGATTGCCCGTTGCTGGAGTGGATGAACAGCTTGACACTGCTTTTTTCATGTATTAAAGCTTTTGTTTACATTTTTTGCTGTTTATTATCGGAAACGTTGATGCATAAGTTCAGACTGGTGACTGTCTCCAAAATTTAGTATCGGAAGCTGAAGAGTTTAGTCAGATTTTGACCACATTCAATATATCCAGGTTTTATTTTAAAAAATTTGTTAAAGCACTTATGCCCTGCCGATTGCGAGGAAAGCGATCGAAGAGTATTTGAAATTAGATACAGTGCAAGTAACTAGTGGTCTTGCTTCCTGGGACGGCACGAAGGTAAGTTATGTGAGGTTTTCTGTATTTTGACTTTTGGACTTTCCAGCAAAATTACACTTCTTATCCGCTCCTGAAATTAGCATTGAAAAGAGCATTATTTCCATATTAAAATGCGAACTGTTTTAACTCAAATAGCATTGAAAAAAGCATTATTTCTATATTAAAGTTCGGACTGCCTTAACTCAAATTATTCATCAATTTTGTTTCCAAAAATACTTTCCAATTTTATTCATATATTCTTTTCTCTTCTAGTGCTGATGTGGCTTCTAAAATTTGGGACTAAAAAATTCGAAAATGTTGCATGAACTTCAGTTTTACATAAGCCCAAATTTATTTTTATTCCAGGAACATCAAATCCAGTATACAGAAGTGCGAGTTGCACGTTTGCTATTATACTTTATGGATCGGCCTGAACTAGGCTCTCTTTTTCTTGAAGAAACATTACTAATTTTGTTGGAAGCAGCTTCTAGGAACGACACACATTTGGAATCGGTTTTAGTCGAGGTCAACATCGACATTTTGTTTGGATTTGTTGGAATTATATGGTTTTAAAATAGTTCTAGAATATAAGTAGTACTTTCCGTCAGATAGGATATTTCTCGTTGTCTAAGATGACTTCATCTATGATTTAGCTTCACATGGACTGAAACTAAGGAGTTTGAAAATTTATATCCATATTACTTTAAAATATACTTCTTGCAGAAAGAGAAAATATTAAGTGGAACAAAAAGGCTATCATCTACAATAGAAACAATTAATGAACAGAATCGGCGGTGTAGTGTTACGAGTAAATCCTCTATTAGTTCACGGCAATCACGATTAAGCATTCTATCAGCACCTGAAGAAACTTCCACCAAACAGGTATTTATATATCAAATACAGTGATTTATTGCATTATTTACCAAAATTCAGTACTGCGCTTTCTGTTCGACGAAATATTGACAAAAATTTCTAAAAAAGTTTCAAAAAACAAATTTCTAAAACTTCAGTTTTTTCAGACTAAACGATTGGAAGAGTTCCGAAAAACAGTAAATTTGTTGATGAATTCGCTTGATGTTGGGTTTATTTGGAATTTTCTAGAACGGAAACTAAAATTGTAATTACACTTTATTTAATGTGATACAAATTTTGGAAATTCTTAGAGGAGATGTTGATTGTTACATGATGAATGAATGTTAAAAGGTGTGACAGGTGGACCGGCTAACTCATTTCTCTTTCGATTACACCGCATTTATTGAAAACCTCTTTTAATTTATAGTAATGGCGATAGGCAGTGTATTTTACCAGGGAGTCTTCTTGCTGTTGCAAAAGCATACAGTTCATCCATACAAGTCATATGTTGGATAGATAAATTTCTTAAAACTAGAAAAACACAACGATGTTATCTTGAGTGATACTCAAGATTCCTCAACCAGTCATTCATTTTAAGGTTAATACAGCAAACACAAAAAGAAGAAAAGCGAAACGGTACAATAGATCCACATTTGTTGACAAATGAAATAAAAATGTTGAAAGATGAAGAAGAACGGAGAATTACACGGGAATTGGCGAACTTTCCACAGGTTCTGGTTTTTTTGAAACTCTTTGTTGCAATTAATTTTTAAATGGATTAGTTTGTCAAAATTCATATGAAGGATGATAGACAATGATGACGCATGAAATTAGTAATTCTTTATGGTTTGAATGAAAATTCCTCAAGGGATCACCGCAAGATTCGAAATTAAGGAATAAAATTGCTCTCGGCAGTTTCGGTAAAATCAAAACATGTTTGAAATTAAGGAATAAAATTGCTCTTGGCAGTTTCGGTAAAATTAAAACATACCAAGGTAAGAATTTATTGTGGAATCTATTTATAGATAGTATTATTTTGCCTGAACACAATAGAATTGGATTCTCATGGAGATATTCGGGAACGGTACTTACCACAGTTGTTGTCATCGATTCTCACCACTGTGGCTGAGAAAAATGTTGCATCGATAGACATTAGACTACTTGTTCGACTTTTAATTGTCGCAAAAGCAATTCTAAATGAAGTCAATCAAAGTGCTGTTGTTATGGAAGCTGGAAGTTAGTAGTTAATGCCTAAAAAAGTTTTCGAAAAGACACTTAAATTTGTTGAACTTATAATAATAACCTTACGGTATTAGTCAGTCAGTGATAATGCCCACGGCATGAAGATAATCTGCCTGAAATAGCAAAAATGATAAAAATCTTTTACCTTGATAATGCTAGAGAGTCTTTGAAATGTAAAATTTAGTAATCTTTGCTAATTTTGCACTTACATATTTCCTCTGCTTTCTCGTTGATAACATTTTTGAAAAATCCGGTGCAGAAATTCCCATCACTCAGATTCTTAGGAATTTTATTCAGTACAAATTTTAGTCATGACACGAAAACTTAGTGAGGTATATGAAATAGTACGTTGTGAAGAACTTGATTCAATGGAAAAACCATCCACGCAAGGAGGCGCAATTAAAGGTTTGTCAAAATTCATATATCAAATGGTGCATAACGGGTTGCTAAATTGAAATACTTTCATAATGTATTGAATTCAGTGATGCATAATCTTTCCCAAATATCAAATTCTGAAGCTATATTTTCGTATTAGCTAATACTCTGTAGGTTGATGAATTGAATTTTAGCAACTTAGACTTCATAACATTTGGTAAATCACTCTTATCGTTATATTCAGAACAGTGGAGAGTAGAGAATTGTTTGAGTAGTTGTCAGCGAGTTCTTGCGCAGATCTGTAATTGGTATTGCAAGGAACGAAATACCGAACGCTTGCAAGCATTTTATGCTGTTTCAACTTTGACACAAGAATTTGCCGATTTTCCCTTATATGATTTAGGTGCACAAGAAATCAAGAGTAGGTTTTTATTTGTTAAATACTGTTCATGTATTTAATTTCCTCATATTCTTTTTTACCGTGTATCTAAAGTGCTTCCTCGGGATTCTCGAAGTTTGTTAGTCACTTGTATTGCTTTCTGCTTAGAAAACATCCTTTTCGTTGATAACATCGACACAAAATGTTCATTAATTCGTATTATATTCTACAGGTGTGGGATATCATAAAAGGCATGGATCAAGTAATTATCCGGTTTGGTTAAGCGCTTTATTGAACGTATTATCACTCGACGATTGGGATGTTGCCGTGAGTTCTAAAGGTTCAATTTTGAATTCGAATTCGATTTTTTTGTGATATTGTGTTTTTGATATTTTTTATATTTTTTACATTATATCCTTTTCAATTTTATTTGATTAATTTAGTTCGAACATTTCGGTTTGATTTGGTTTAATACTCGACTCATTTTTTTTTCCTGTGTGCTATCAGATTATTCAAGATCCGTGATAAAAAGTAAATATTTGCACATGCTAAAAAATTTTGGCATTTGGACTTTATTCTCTAATCTTGTTTTTGGCTGGGTTTTAGTAAATTAGTTTTTGCAGTAAGTCATGATACTCTTGACATCCGGGTAACCGATATGTTTGCTCGCGCGAATGCTTTGGATCTGATAACCTATGTCTATATTAGGAGTATTTCGGTTGCTGAACAACATGACGCTATGTTACAACGTCAAAAGAGGTTAGATACAGCCATTTAAAATTCCAAAATTTTACTGAACTCCTCTGATTTAGCTTGCATTAACTTGCACCATATGCAAAATAATCTCGAAATATTCATTATGTAAAATCTTAAAATACTCGAAATATCTTAAAATATTTCGTTTTTTTAAACTTCAAAAAATTTTTGTGTTGGTTTTATAGACAATGCACTCCATCCTTATGTAGACTTGAATCTTTTCGATGATCTAGTTTATGTTACATGATAGTGCTAGTTTAATATGATTCTTAGAAGTTTCAGAGATAATAAAGAAAGGACAACTATTTTATTGAAACCACTGATTTCTGAAGTGAACTTGAAACATTTGGATGATGACAACATTTTCAAGGTAAAATGCTTTTTTCGAATAAAAACTATTATGTCAAAATAATGACTGATTATTGAATTGAACTAAAAGATACCTAAATCAATTTTAGATAATCATTTTCGAAGTCTGGTTTTTTCCGTGTTTCATGCGCGATTACATCACAGCGGAGATGTTTTGTACCCTAGTCTTATCAGAGTCTGGAGAATTGTCCCCCTAATTTACGGGAATTTTGATTTTTTCCGCATTCTGATTATCACCTTTTCAATTTCCAGAAGGCTGCTAAAATCCTCTGGTCATACTTGGACCAAAGCGACAAGGCATATTATCATTCGACAGTTGCTCGATTGCTTTGTTTATTTCATTCACGGAAGCCTTCTGAACCGAGTAGTGATGTCGAGGATTTGATCGTTAGCAATCTTACAAGCATGAATAGGGTATGGAATTTCTTTTTGTTGTTTTTTCAGACTCCGGTGTTTCGTAATGAAATTTTAAGTCCATCAGAAGTACGACTGTATTTTATTTTTCTAGGAGCTAAGTTGCTCTGCTGCTAAAAAATTTCGAACCTTATGGATGTTAAATCGGCCTTCTGCATCCGAGGAACTCTATCCTGGATTATCATCGAAGCCGTTTAACAGGTTTTTATATTGTACAGTTTCTGATTTCTTCCCGAGCTTCAGTCATGTTTCAATTGTATTTAGACATTAGGTTGATTATTCTTGGCCTTCTATTTCGCCTTCTCATCACATGAGAAGGCGAAATAGAATGCCAAGAATGCCCATGGTATTAGTTCAGTTTAGGTTAAATCAGTTTGATTGACTTTCGTTAATTAACAGTGACCGGTTTTGTTTGAGTAGTATTGATTAAATGCTGATTATAATTTAAGCTCTTTGAAGGGTTGTCATGCTTTTATTGGGTTTTCTATCTGATGATACAATTGGTTATGATAAAACAGAATTGAAAAATATTTCGGCCTTTTGGTTCAATGATTGTGCTCAGCACTCGGATTTGCCGTATATTCTGCAGGTGTCATACAACTTATTTGCGAATTTTGTTTTAAATCCATCATGAACAATGTCAAATAGTTTATACTTTATCTTACATTCTGTGTATTTGTTGGTATCAATGCTCCGTAATGCTGTTAACGTAGGTGATAATACTGACTGCCATGCCTTGTTAAATCACCATAGAAACGTATTATCATGTTAATCATATCAAAAACCCCGTTAACATTTATTTATACTGGTGAAACTAACTCTCCATATTTTTGGCTTGTTTTGAATTTCAAAAAATTTTGCTGATAGTCAATGATTACGAAGTTATAAGTGAGTGATGAGAGTCAAACAAATTTCATCGAATATTCCAGATGTGGGCTACTATGCTCTTAAACCCAAGCACCTCACGTGTTTCAATTCAGTACCTCAGTATGCATCGCAGAATTAATAAAGAAAAGGTTTGCATTTATTATAAAATTAGTGCTTTAAGGCGAGAATGATAAACAACATTTTTTTTCCCCTCTTGGGTGTTTATGGGATAAGGAAGTTTCCATTTTCCTTTTCTAAACTTGGCAAGCTGTTAACATTGTATTTGTCAGTTTTGCTGTTAAGAAATGTTGAAGTTGATTGAAAGTGGTCAGGTAGAATTTGGACAAGAAAAAACAATGTATACATGCTTATCATCATCATTATCAGTGTTGAGAGATAACCATGTGCATCATTTTACCATTATACCAGAAATATCTCTAATATTTTCCTAACTCTTATATTTGCAATAGTTTGCTATCCCATGCGATTTAGACATTCAGAGATGAGTTTGGAAGTTCAGAATTAGAATTCTAATGCTCTTCTTTTCAGTTCCCATATATACCATCCGGTATTTGTGCCATCACACTGTTAACGGATGGTGGTCATCAGTCATTACATCATTTGTGCGAAGATGTTTCGGTAATAGGTCCAAATGAATCAAAGCGGCACTTGGTTGAAGCTTCCACAGTTTTTGAGAGATTAAGAATTGGAGAGTTCGTTTTTGGAAATTTGATGAAATTGTGGTAATTTTGAATGTCTTAATAAAAATCTTACTTGAGAAGTTCTGAGTTTTTTTGTCGTTGTTCACTGATTTTATCTGAGAATATAACGGAAATACTTTTTAGATGCCCAATTTGGTTGACTGAGCTACGAAATCGTTTGTTGCAAGAAGGTGATGATAATGGCGCGATAGACTTGAATATGACAAGCGAAACACAAAAGAATCATCGCAGGACTGTATCGGACATACCAATGTTTGATGATGACAGTGTACGTTATCTATAATTTCTTTATAATTATTTTCACTGAAGCTTCTATCAAAAAATTTTGATAAATGAAACGGATGAATTGAAACAGATGATTAAACGATTTATTGTTGAATTTCGTTTGGGAAACTTAACGTATAATTATGACAATAAGGGATTTCCAGGTGATTCTGATTGTCTTTAATTAGTGTTAACTGTTTTATTCGTAAAGATTAAAGTTTCGAATTCGCAGCAGAAAATTAACATCTCTGGAACCGTAAATGTTTAGATGCAGTAACAAAGTAATTCTTTATTTGCAATATGATATTCTTCGAAGTATTTGTTTCCTTTAATATTTTGCACTTTTGAATCCAATCGGGAAATTCCCTGCTTGCACTTAGTGCTTTTTCCAATTCCTTTTCGTTATGAAAGTGGAAGGCTCATTTTTATTGGATTGCGAAAACTTGAAGATAGAAATTGGGATATGTAACTATTCAGTACCTTGTATGTATAAAATATTCCTGTATTAATATCAGAAAGCGCATATTCCAGTCATACATTTTGTATTTTTTTGTAACAATATGAATGCATTGGATTCTGACTGATCACTCTACGATAAAATAGGGTATAAGTCTTATTTTCCGTTCGTTTGCTTGAATTTGAACAATATTTTTGAAATTCGGTTCAGGATTCTGTTGAAACGACATCACTAGATTCGCTGGATCATGAAGTAGTGGAAACACTCCAATATATCCTTGACTGTATTTGTGCTCAAGAAGAAAGCGAAATGGAAGTACAAGCTTGTTTTGCCGGTGAACGGTTGTGTTCCCATGTTCAAATGACACTGATTAGTAACACACATGATACAGAGAGCGAAATTAGTGAAAAAGAAGGATTATCCAGGTTCGTTTTACGCTTCAGTTTTTTACGACAACTTTCTGGTTACTGAATCACATTAAGGATATGATTTTAGTGTGGATTCATTGGGCGGTACTAATTCATGTTTTGTCTAAGTTTTAATTCATTTGCAGCATCTTTTACTCCAAAATAATAAGTGTAAATCTTGTTGATATTACTAGAAGCATAGCATTCGAACTGACTTGTAGAAGATCAGTTTCCTGAGAAATTTATCATAGCATTTTCTTGAATAACAATAATTTGCAGTGCAACAGCTGGTGCATCACAGAAAAGAACGGCGGAATTACAGTCAGTTCCTGTGGTTTCATCGTGGAAAACTGTTGAGAATGGTCCACCAATTTCCGAAAACGTGAAACGGTCTAGAGGTCATCGAAGGCAAGATTCATTGCAAGAAAGCATATTTACAATGTCTGCACAAGAACTCAAGTGAGTTTTGCTCTTGACAACTTAATTTTGAATTTTTGAACTAAAATTTATATTATTATTTTTCGTGTGGAATTTTAGTTTTCGTTTCATTTTAGCAAGTTATATTCACTTAGATTATTTGATACATCCGAGTTGCCTCGATTGGAAGCAACCGGAGATGAAGTGCAACCATTGTGCCACGAATTACATGCGCATATGTTGCTGTATGCAGAAAGTGGGCAAACGGTGGATTTAGCGCGCTCTGAAAAAGTATTTCGAATGCTAATTGCCTTGATGCGGACGAAACTTAGCTTCCTGACTCCCAGCCTTATTATTAGGTGAGTCTGAAAACTGAGTAGGCCAACTTACGTATATGGTAAACATCTCTTCCGTATGTTTTGGTTCATTTTCCTTGTTAAAAATCTGATTTATGAATTTATTCTAAATTACTGTGCAAGTAGTTCAAGTCTCTTGAAGTTCTATGCGGTTGCTTTAGGATGGTTGTTGACCGAAAGGGTGGAAGTTCGAATTTACAGCAAAATTCATCTTTTTATTGTAAAAAAAATGACTGTCTAACAGAAGAAATCAAATTTCCAGTTGTATGGTTTCATCTGGAACTGCTTCACTTTCGAAATCTCCATCGAGCGTTATATCTGGACAATTAATGGACCTTGTGTCACGTCATATTCATTCCATACTAGGGCAGGATTTTTGGACTTCTGAGTCGGATAGTGGAAGCGGGACGGACACACTAAAATATAAACATTACAGTTTTCTTGAACTCTTTATGACTGTAGGTTTTTTTTACAGTGATATGTTTTTGATCCTTTTCAACTATTCCTTCAAAGAGGAAATGGAGAATTTTGAAATTCACGATATTGTTGTTAATGATTTAGAAATCTCCTCCATTAACTCATTCACTTATTTAGATAATTAAACTCTAGGTTCATAACTTTCTAGCTTAGTAGTTTCTGCGTAAGCAATGCTTGAAACCGAAACATTTCGGTTATTAACTATTACTGAAAAATTTTGTGTGATGTAATCTTCACTTGCTACTAAAATTAATTCAAAATCTTAATAATTAATATGTTGCAGATTTCTTTACATTTTCTTCGATCATATTTTGTCAATTCCCCCACTGCCAACGTTTCTAGTCTTGATTTGCGCAATGCTTGGAAATGTAAGGTAAATTTTACACTCATTAAATGTTTGGACTTAAGGATTGGTCACACTTTTGAGAGAAAATGCTTGTTGGAAATCCAAATAGACGATTGATTTCATGATTTTTCTCACATTCTCACGTTAGTAGTTGACTGAAAAAAAAATGCATTTCTCTCTAGTTCTGTGTCTTTGGAAATAATGCTAAAGAATATGTAGTGTTGAGAAATAAGTTACTGGTGATATTTTGAATTGGGTACTGGCCAATGTTGTTTGTTTTAGATGGCAGTTTTGGATTTTCTTGCCGAGTTAGTGCGCGGATTAATAGCGATAATCCAGGAGAATCAGTCTCGAGCTTTAACTACTTACATCCATGGCTTGCTGCAGCGTTCAAAGCTTCAAAAATGCTTGTTGCATTCTCTTCTAACTTCTGTTCATAATGTTCGACAACATAATAACACCGAAATGTATATTTTCATTCTTAGAAAATCTTGAGCATTTTGAAAAATCATGAAATTGTTTCATATATTCTTTTTTCTAGCCATAGTTGTCCGGTTGTATAACGTAACAGGAACTAGATCGAAGCCGATTATTTCCTTACACTTTAAAGATTTTCTTCATTCTCGTTATCCAGAATTCATTATTTGTAGAGTTCCATTATCAGTCGATATATTGGAATTTAATGATGGTAATGCAACATCCAGCAGTAATTTCTGTGATTTGATTGTTGGTTATCAAAGTTCGCTGCTAGATTTAACTGCCACTGTAATACAATTGGAATTGGTGATCAAGAACGGATTTCGAAATTTTACTGACCAAGTAGCTGTCTTACCTAGATAATTTCTTAGTTAAAGTTGGCATATTCGGTTTTCAGTTGCGATTTATAAGTTTGTGGAATTGGAATTAAATCAGTCAGCAAACAAAGAGTTCGGCAAATAAGCCTATGAATGAATAAATCTGCCAAGTAATGTTGTATGAAATGGGTTTATTAAATGACTAGTTGGAGAAAGTGATTAAATACTGCACGACAGGTGAAAGTAGTACGAGGACAAAATTACCGATAATATAAGCTGCTTAGCAATATTTATGGGTTACTAGTGGATGTTTTTATCTGGAAATTTGGAAGTTAAAAGAATTTAAATTTAGTTGTCGGAAAATCCTAAATAGCTCAGTCAAAATTCCAGAATAGCAGTGGTATAGATAAACTGTCGATAAATCATCAAATTTATAATTCACCGCTGCATCGTGCAACGCTTCGTGAACCATATGTTGGCATGGTTGAATTGCGTATGTTTCTGTTAACTGTCTTGAATGCCCTCAAGAAACATTCAGCTGAACACCAACAATGGCTTACATTTGTCGTACGAATACTCCCATTTCTTGATTAGGTTTTTTTTTTTCTTTTTTCTAGCATTTTGTTGTAATCAGAAATATAATAAAATACTGAAATAAATAAGAAACATTTTGAATGCTTTTCTGATATTTTGGTCAAGCATTGATGGTATTTTGATCGGGTATTGGAATATGACATTTCGTATTAGCTCAATTTTGAAACAGTTTATTCCGTTTCAAAATTATGCTATAGATACCGCATACTGCAGATCACTGTCTACATTTTCGGTGCATATCGTCGAGCAATTGTGTAAGAATTTGGAATCTGCTGTGAATGCCGCATATTCTCCTACAGATGATAAAGTGTACAGTGTTTCACCGGCTGAATCAGTTCCTACTCGCTCTGTAGGCATCATTCAGGACAAGTCAACATATCCGACCAATTATGCTATTGGAGTAGGTTTTATTGTATGCATAACCTTTTTCTCAGATCCCAGATGGAATCACGTAATCCAGCAGGATATTTCTGACGAATCGCATGATTTGAGTATCGCTTCGGAGCAATCGCCTGTTCCTCTTCTTCACATTTGTAATCGGATTTTGTTTAAAATGGGATAATGCAAGGCTTGCTCGAGTTAATATGTGCTTTTCAACTCTGATGGAATTTAAACTCAATCATGTTTCAATCTGTAATAAAAACTCAATCTTTAATACATTTTTAGGATAAGAATTTACTTGCTCGCACGGTTAATTGTCGAATTATTAATGGAAATAATTCTCTCGTGTAATTTTCTATTTATTGATTACCAGTTATATCGTTTAGGAGTTTAAATTCCATCACTATCATCTTATACTTCCTCAAAATCAATTGCTGTTATAAAAAATTGTCCTGTCAAAATATTTTGTATTTTATTCCACTTGGATCAGACGAAAATTTGCAGAAATAATTTTTCAAGAGAGAATTCCTTTATAGATATTGGAAACATTGAATACTTTTTTTCATTATTGCCTTATCGATAATACATCTCAAACCGGTGCTGCTTTAGCATTGGCCAATGTTCATCAACCTTCACAGGTATCGTTTCGTAAAATAGAATACTGCACTGCTGGGGGTATTTTTTTTGTTTCCATTTGTTACTTTATATAGGTGACAAACTGTTTTGCTGGTGAAAGTTGAAGTACCTAACAACAGATCTGTTAGTAACTTTTCTTTAGCCAGCGCATTTGGCTTTTACAACATTTTACTGAATTTTTCTGGTATGATAAAATTTGCATAATATTTGCAGCAGCTTGACATATGTCCAGAAATTGAAATGACAGTGCGACATTTTAGTTGACTGATGTTAGACAACTTAATTTGCCGAAAAACATGATGGCTCAATTACAGTATTGTCAGGACATACCTAAAAAAGCATAAGACTTTATCACTTGATAGAAAGATCTGATGTAATAAATAGTCTAATGATATTGGTAATCCAACTGAAATTTTCATTTAAATGCTGGTAGTCAGTTATTTATAGGGGAATTTTAGGCTTCAAAATTAATTTAAACAATTGAAGTGAATCAAAGTTAAATTTAAAGCTGACTACCAACAAATAATTTATGGATTGTTTTCAGGTCGTAACAATCAGTAATCCATCACTGGCATCATCGGTAATGAATGCTATACCTGGTACACGTGGTGCTACAGAGCTTATCTCAAATCTCGTTAAAGTTTTCTCCTTTAGCGATAATACTAATGTGGTAAGTTAATATTCCTTTTTGCCTGATATTTTTTAATTATTGAGGAATGTGAATTGTCAATTGTTAATAAATTCGAACCGGGTAGTAAGTAGAGCTGCTGGTATCTCGCCACTGAATTTAAATAAGTAAATCCACAGAGAAATATTGCATTCATTACGTTATTATCTTTATTTGTTGTTTTATAGTTTTCAAACGAAAATAAAAGCAAAGTCCAAATCCATAGCTATAAACGTTATTATATAGTATTCATTTCTAAGCTCAATTATTAATGAGAAAAGAATGTTCGAAACAGGCATAGTTAGACTTACCGTTTATTGTTTGCTTTGTAAAGAGATTGGATCAATTAAATTTAGTTTTGATTATTCAAATCTGAATTATAGTCATCGAATGCTGCACTCAGAAAATTTACTGATCTCACGGCTGACGATGTTTTGAAGCAAGCACGATCTGATGTACTTAACGCTTTTCCACATGCTCTTGCGACACTTTGTGATGTTTGGACACAGCTGCGAAAAGGAGAACCGAATCTACCAATTGGAAATCCTGCGGTATTTGCCAAGCTTTTTTGGGACTACATAGATAAACGTTTGCTATGCGCTTGTGGGAAAGTCATAGATAAATCATTCTTTAACCATTGCATAACTTCGATGGAATCATAGGAACTTTTTTTCACCGATGAAAGGAGGCAAATGTCTCTCATCAGTTAAACATCATTGTTCTGAAACAATGTTGTAAACATATTTAGATGATCCGACAATTAATTCTTGATTTGCTTTCACCAATAGTGCAACATCATCAACAGTCATTTTTGTCATCACTTGCCTTAGTATGGATGACTCGAAGCTCATTAACATCACAAAAGCAGCCTACTACACGTATTGAATCTGATCAGGTTGTTTTGTTGGATTTTTCCATCAAAAAATTCCGGTTATTTAAAATACAACAAATTTACTAAATTCTGATAGTCTTAATGTCATAACAGGATGTTGCTTTCTGTTGTGTTAATGGATTTGAAATAATAAAAAAGGGAAATGGTTTTTTTTTTCCTACCAAATGAACCGTTTTATTTTTCTTACTTTCAGTCATCATTTGATTATTCATCGGCACAACTCGATATTGCCGATCTTTTGTCAAATATCAAAATCCTCCCATTTGAAAATCTTATTTCTACGGTTGCTGAAGCACTGAAGGAAAGCGCATGGAAAATCGCAAAATCGGGTGCAGCTCTAGACAAGGTAATTGTTTTTCAGCAATCCTAAATAGTAAGAATGCTAACATGTAAGAAGTATATAATGTTAGTCTTCTTATGTTCTCTTAATGAACTGAAATCTCTCATGACTCTTAACTGGTAATCAGTAACAAGTTTTTCAGCCATTTAGGCCACTTTCTCATAAATTCATACCAATGTTACAATTGTTTCACTTTTGTCTGTTCAGAACTGGTTGCAACAAAGTGCTTTCCCAACCGAGCTTGCGTTACTGGAAATGCTTCATGGTTGTGTTAGAGCTACACCATCCACTGCTCTGTACAATTGCTGGCCTTCATTACAGGCACTGTTTATGGAATCACCAGTTATGTCGCTACCACCGAAAGCTGTTTTCATTCTATTCATGTAAATTTTAGCATTGTGAATATTTAGACTTAAATTTGAAATCTTATTAATTCGATTCAAGTTATATACGTTATTAATCGTGCTTTGGTTACAAAAGAAGTTTTAAAAAAGAAAGAAGACCAGATCTGCTCAAATCCTTGCAAATATTCCTATTTATTTGGAAGATTGGCACATTTCGGTTACTGTTTAAGGCTTGTGATTTGTTTTACTTAGCTTTTGCTGAACTTGATTTCGTCCTCATGAATTCCAGTATACTTGTGGATTTCGTAAAACTTACCACAAGTTCAGCCGTCGTTGAAGATAAACAATTGTCACGAGCTGCGCAAGATGCATGTCAAAAACTTACGGAAGCTATGAATATTATAGTTGGTTGGCAGTTGGAACAAACTACCTGGTTGAAACGGACGTTGGTTGTCAAGCATGACTCATCCTGTAAATATTCATTTCTAAAATACTTAATACTTGGAGTGATGATTTTCCAAAACGTTTGAAAAACTGCGCAAAAAAGAAGAACCACTTCTTGGTTAGTCTAATCAGGAAACGGTTTATTTGCGCAGCATTTTGAACGTTTCGAAATATATATATTATGAAGGTTTTGAGAAATGACCACTGCATGAAATCATTACAATCTGACGAAAAGTGAATTAGTCACTTTGTTATGATCTTTTATTCTGACCCCAGAAATAATGAAATTTCAAGTTTATTGCAGCGCAAAAATCACAAGAAACATCGCCGGTGGTAGAATTCGCTACAGCGCCGACGTCACTGGCTGCATCGGAAAACAGTTCTTTACGTGGTTCCACGTCATCTTTGGTACCACCAAGGTTAGTTAGTAAACAGTTATATATGTTTTAAAATCCACTTAAATCAGTAAGAATAATGAGTTACCAACTATATATATTTTCAACTATTTTTCAGCGTCTTTTCTTGAGCATCATTAAATCATTGAATTTAATCGCTTTCTTCAGGATTCCCACCTTCGATACAGCCACACAGATATCCGTTTCATCTCAGGGTGCTTCAAGCTCAGCAGCTGATAGGCGGAGTATATCAAACATGCGATCAAGTTTGAAAGATTCGAATAACTTGAAACGCGATCCGACTCACAGTACTCAAGCATTATTCTTGCTAGCTGAGGTTATTCTTCATTCATTGACAGTGTTTTATTTCTTTTCGCATAAATAATCTAGAAAAAGGACCAGTTTTAAAATTTTAGTTTTTATTTTCGAAATTTATCTCTTTCTAATTTTAAAATTTAATATAGTGACATATGATGTCAAATGTCAGCGGTATTTATGGTACAAGGGATTGTATTGAACATCATATAAATTTTTCGGTCTCTCAAAATCCTTTGTATTCATATCAGAAAGTGCCCGAAGTGTGGCATATTGAAGTTTATGTAGTGGAATTGATTTTTATGAGCTTTTTTGGATTTAAATAATCCGGACTATGAAAAAGCATTTTCTTTGGTGTTATTCCTTTACATTCAATTGCAGCATTTAGCCGAATTGATTGATTCGATATGCAAGAGTGAAGATAAGGAGAGATTATTGCCATTACTTCATGCTGTTTGGAGCAATACGTTGCCATATTTAAAAGCCAAGAAGTACGTTTTCCATAGAAAAAAATGAAATATAACTATCTAATTGGCGTTTTCTGTGTAGTGAATTATACAACTAACTAATTGCGTTCAGGAATTTGATTTTTGTCGGTGAAAGCTAATGTAGAATTCAGTTTCACTACCTTTAATCTATTTTTGCTGTCTGTTAAACGTTTAATTAATCGGAAAATTTTTGATCTTATGCTCACCATGTTTTAACACTACCTAATAGCACTACCTAATGTTTATGGAAATGAAACACTGTGTTGAGATTTTTCCAGCCATAAAACTTGAAAGTTGTAATTATTTGTTTAAATACAGCATTATATTTCATATAAATTTTATTTTCATAAAATTCTTCGAATTTTAAATTTGCAAAAATGTATACTTATGTAAAAGTTATGGAAGCTTTCTTGACAACTGTTTAAGTTTTAATTTGCAATTTAGTGCTCGAAATGCTCGATTCTTCCTTGCTAGTTCGCAATTGTTAGCATCGATGAGTACTTTCAACTATATGCGACCTGTGTGGCGCAAAGCTACGTTAGATCTTCTGCTTGATCCAGGTAATTGTTCCGTAACTTACCAGATTAACTGCAGTTTTCTTTCACTAGTCTTGGTTCAAATCATACAGTTATGATATCAAGTTTAAAAAACCTCAATTTTCTTCCGTTCACTTTTCCACTGGTTGCTTGTTTGACGATACACAAATGTATACGTGCAAATATTGGTCTTGATCGAACGTCATTCATCATCACAGTAGGATTAATTTGTCATTTATGAAACTATAGCATTCTTCAAAATGGATATGCAATCGTTGAAACATTGGTTGATTATAACGGATCATTTGATGACTCACGATAAAACATCCTTCAAAGAGCTGCTTGGTTCGTTCTTCAGCAGTTTTGGTTGATATAATAACCAATTTAATATGTAGCAGAGTAGTTCGTCACTTATCAAGCTTCGTTTCCAAGGATCTCAGATTTATAGGAACTAGTCAGTTATTCAGGTTCTCTCATTTTCGAGGTGAAAATGGTTTGTACAGCAGATGTGACTGCAAATTTAGGGCTCACTGCATTACTCATTCGTTAATTAAATAGTTGGTTCATTATATGAAATCAACAGATTTCGTTGTGGTTGATTTCTATTCCTATTTTTTTTTTATTTAGGAAGGATTTCAACAGCTCAAAATTCTGCACTTTCAAGTCTGATAACAAGCAAAGAAGTTGAACACGAAATGCGTGCCCAGGCATTGAAACGTTTAGCATTTATAGTACTAAGCTCGGAACTCGGTCAATATCAAGCTCAGTTGCCTGATATACAAGGTAATTGAAGGCTTTTGGAATTTATTTATACCGTGTGTCATTTGAAATGCTATAACCGTTTCTTGTCTTTTATACGGGTGCTAAATACTTTTTGTATTGCCTGAGGCGTTAAGTATATCAGAGTGTTTTCTGAAGTTCGACGTTTTCTAAATGCTTCAGATGAAAATATCCGAAGAAAGTTGCGTAAAAGGCAAAGCTTCTGAGAAGAAAGCATTTTTTAAAGCTTTTTAGAACGAATCAATATGTAAAATTGGATTTTTTCAGAACGTTTATCAGACAATTTGCGTTTATCACAAGTTCCAATTGTTCATGCCCAAGTGTTCCTATGTTATCGAGTTTTGCTTATCAGGCAGAAACCACAACATCTTGTTAGCATGTGGCCTTCGATGGTTACAGAACTGGTAGCATATTTAGTTTGTTGAAAAAAAGTTGTATCGAGTTATGGGATTATTTTTGCTAGATTCTTGAGTTTGATTATATCGGCACGATTTTTGAATTTATATATCGAAATTTTTGAAATCACTTGGTATGCTCAAAAAGAATTATTGGTTTTCGTCGACATCAAAAGAATGAATTTCAGGTTCATGTGTTATTACAAATTGAGCAACAGTTATCAGGTACAGCAAATGTTTCGGATGATCTAAAATGTGATCGAAATGACCAATGGATGCAACTGTATCTTGCATCATGTAAACTACTCGAAACATTATGTACACTTCCTGCTGGTTATTTGGCACAATTTCAGATGTAAACTGTTTTTAACATCTTTGGTATTATATCATTATTTTGTTTTAGTGGATGTAAATTATTGATTTTTTTGACTGCAGTATTTAGATCGACAATTCTCGGACCAAGGTGTGGAATCCATTTTCAGGTGCCATTGGGCATTTGTAAATTCAGTGGCAGCAAGTAATATCGATTCATTCGTGCCATTTGCAAGTCGCATCGATCGTTTACTTCGTAATAAAGTATGTCGCTGTGAAAACGGATTAATTTTTTTCTTTTTTTTTCTTATCTGCATCACAGTTTTTATTCGAATTTTGCTGTACATGGTATCAAATTACTTTCAGTATGGTCAGCTGTCGGCTCATGGTCGAAAGTTTATGTCCGCATCATTGGTTAATGTTAAAACGCTTACGAGCTTTAGTGAATTGCGCCCATTCTTCTTGGCACTTGCGACACAGAATGAAATGCGTGCTTTGACAATGCAATTTTCCTTTGATAAGGTGTTCCATTCCTTAAATTTGAAATTTGAAATCTCAACAAAAATTTTTCTCTTATACTTTTTATAAAATTCTTACCATGGATTTAAGGGTATGGGCCTAGGAAATTTATTGCAATAATAAGTATGCAGATGTGGGAGGAGACTATCTCTGTTATAAGTTTTTTGAAAGTAGTTAGCAGTTAGTTGCTAAAATCTAACAAAATGATCAATCCATATATTCCCTGAGAAATGTAGTGATCATATCATTGCGCCGGGATACATCAAACTCTTAACACAGTTCAGTTTATTATCTGTGGAGAAAGAAAAGAAATTTCAGGAGGATCAGCTGCGAGACGCTCATTTTCTCAGTGGTTCATTATGTTATAAAGCTGCAATTAATCGTTTGGAACACGCACTATACGTTGATTTTGCAGAGCATTGGCAGTTGTAACTGCATATTAACTTTAGAAATATTGCATCGATTCTAACACCTATGAGGTTGCATAGCGAGTAACACGAGCTATTATTTTGTAATTTTCCTCAGTTTTAGGAAATTTCATCATTTAGTTTGCTTGAATTCCAATGACACCTTTTTAATTGACATATATGGTCAATTATGAATTTTTTTTTTCAGAAAATGTCAAAAATATGCTAGATTGAAATTAATTTTTGAATATTTGGATATTTTTCTGTTAACTGCGATTTTTTTTTAGCAATTTTACTGCTAAAATTTGTCTTTCATATTTTTCTTGTGAATAGGCAAAAAAAAGCTACTGTATAGTATGTATTACTTTTTCTTGCCGGTAATTGTATATAATTTCAAGTGGATTTTAACACAGCTACTGTCGTAAAATTTGAAAATTTTTGTTTGCATAATATATAGTCGTCTTTTTTTGGAAGTGATCTGCCAAACTGTATGACGCAGCTGTTGCCACTTGGATAGGATTTTGAGTTGAAGTTGTTCAATGAATAACTAGCATAAAAGCATGAGAATTTTATTGGCGAAAATCATTTGTCAGTATTGTCAAAGTAAAAATATCATTAATCACTTTGCTGTCTATACCATCAGTTGATATCAAGTTATCTTACCCATCCTCTTCTCTTTGCAACTCGGAATAACTTCAGAGACCTCTGAAAGTTGATCACAATCATCATAGCATCAACTGAAAATAATAAGGAATCATTCGTTCTTTGTTACATTAGTCTAACTAACAGATTGATCGGAATAGCTAAGTGATTTTACTAACAATGATTTAATTTTATTGATGTTAAATACGGCAATAATCGCATCACTTTACTATTTTTTTATCGTTTTATTCATAAATATTTGCAAAAATTTAAAAGTGGTGAGACGTTTCATTGTTTATATTTCTTTTTCGCTGTTCTTTCTTTT